GAGTAGGAGGAGGAGGAGGAGGAGGAGGAGGAGGAGGAGGAGGAGGAGGAGGAGGAGGAAGGACGCGGAGGGGGAGGAGTGGTGCCCACCTGCTGACGCGTGCCCGCCGATGGCTCGCCGTCCAACTAGCTCTCCTCTCAATTCAGGCGCCGTCGCGAGAGGACGATCGCGAGGACGATGCTTCGTCGCCCAACGGATGGCGAGGATGACGACCACCACCATCACGACTACGGCTTTGACTCCCCCTCCTCCAGCTGCTCTCCGGGCACGACTACTGCTCTGACCCCCCCTTCCTCTAGCTGCTCTTTGTCCCCCCGCAACCTCGTCGCCTCAACGGGGCACGGCTCAGGAAATGGGTCAAGTTGTCGGCCTGGGGTCTGGGCACCGGTTCTGAACAGAGGTTCCGACTCCGTCCCAGGGGGTAATTTTTCGTGCGGGGTCCGCTTTTGAAGGCCCCAGGGCCCAGTGAAGGGCCCCCGGAGGCAGAAGTCGAGGAAAATAGCCAGGGTTGAAAAAGTCCAACTGGCGGAGATCTGGGAAGACGCTGACCGATGATGGCCTTTCTGTGGGTCCTGCCCGAATCGCTGCAGGCGTGCGCCTCAGCGCATCGTCACCGCACGCCCCCTCTCGCCGCGCTGAGCTGGAGTGTGCGCGCCGCGGGCATTGGAGCGGGCCGCCTCATATGCCCCTGGAAGGATTCAGCGACCGTGCAGGCTCCCAGCCACACCCGCAGAGGAGAAATGGGAAAGGTGGAAGGGAGCAGCGGAGAGGAGAAGGATGAGGATGAGGATGAGGGGGAGGAGGAGGGCCAGTGTAAGCCCATGACTCAGCAACGATGTTGCAAAACATCCTCCCCCCAAATTCCCTCTTCATAGGTCCCTACACGCAGTTATCTTCACTTAAGGAAGTGCCCCGTTAAAAGACACAGCCACTCAACGTGACTGTTGCGCTCTGATGTTCCTACATCGTGCCAGAACGCCATTTCTGAGACGTCAGCCATGATAATCCTTCAACTTGCTTAGAACTCTTAAGACGAATGTGCGCAGCGCTAAGGCGAGAACCACATCTTGAAAACTAACCTCCCTCAATCCGTCACGATTTTCCAAACATTCAAACGATTATGCGCGGAGCTATGGCGAGAACCACATTTTGAAAACCACCCGCCCTCCATCTGTGAAGCTCTTGCTAGCTCTTAAAACGAACGTGAGCAATTCTCATGCGATAAGCCCATTTTGAAAACGACCCGCCCTCCATCCGCGAAGCTGTTGCAAGTTTGAAGCTCGAGGATCACACATGGTGGGGAAGTCTCGGGCGAAACCCCTGGCGGCCCGCCCTAGCGACACGCCCCAGGGCGCGACGGGGAGGAGGAGCTCTTCCTGTGAGGAAGCGGATGGAGAGGAGGTGCCGCCAGAGGCTCCCCCTGGCGACCGCTGGGCGGGACCAGCTGGACTGGCAGACGAGTCCCCAGAGATCCGATGTCATGATCTTTTCAATACGCGGTCCCCGGAAGTCTTGACACATTCCCCAGGACCGGGTTTTCATCCTGAGTCGTTCTTTGACGGCCCCGAGGCCCAGCGAGGGCCCCTGGGGGCCGACATTATCGAAAACCTCCGTCTCGATTTTTGCAAAACGCTGGATCTCTGGGTCCGCAGCTCCGCGGGCCCCGAGCAAGCTGCAGGAGGGCTCCGGCGGCGCCGCGCCGCGCGGGGGGGGCTCAGTCGTTCCCGTCCAGCCGGCGGCCCTGGCCCTGGAAGGGCGGCGGCGCCTGGCGCCCGGGGGGCGCCGGCCCCTGGCCCCAGGGCCCGCCCCCCGCGGGCGCCCGGCCCGCGGGGCCCACGCCGAGGGAGTCGTAGCTCTGCACGCCGCCGTCCCGGTGCCAGAGCTCCTGGGCGTGCTCGTTGCAGTCGATGAAGATGCTGTAGCTGACGAGGGAGGCCAGCGTCAGCAGGACCGGGCTGACGACGAAGACCGTCTGGGCCAGCAGGACGATCCACGGGGCCTCGGGGTCGCCGACCTTGTACTTGGAGTGCTGGAAGTACAACACGCAAGAGATCACGTCGAAAATCGCCATGACTATCGCCATGACAGCGAAGAAGCATGCACTGGAGGCGTTGACCCGGTACTCGCCCGTAATCACCAGGAGCCCCATGAGAACAACGAAGATCAGGCTGATAGCCCCCCAGAAGTCGCGTATCATAAACTTGCCGATGACCAGGGCCATCAGAGCCACCAAGGAGAGAATGAAGACGGGGCGCATGCGGAGAGCGAACTCCTGGGGAGTCCAAAAGATACGGCCACGTGCCATGCGAAACCATGCAGTAAGATATTCGAGGGCACATTCTACGTCGACTCTGAGCTTCGGAAGGTGTCCCTTGCTCTGCGGCCTCCATCGGGAGATCAGGCAATCATCGTTGTGGCACCCCTTGACAAGTCTATGTCTCAGTCTGCTGTGCCTGCAGTCATCGTGCTACCAGAACGAACGCCGAATAATGAACGCTGAATAAGGGACGAAGTTTTTGTCTGGCCACGGAGAGCCTTGGCCACCAATAAGTTCCCCGACCCAGATCTCAAGAACGTCCACAGAACCAGAGCCGCTCCTGCACCGACAACCGTTCCTAAGAGGAGGAGGAGGAGGAGGAGGAGGAGGAGGAGGAGGAGGAGGAGGAGGAGGAGGAGGAGGAGGAGGAGGAGGAGGAGGGAGGAGGAGGACGGAGGAGGAGGAGGACGAGGAGGAGGAGGAGGAGGAGGAGGGAGGAGGACTGTTGCAAGAGGCTCTGCGCGACGAGCTTCCGCAGGAGGCCAGAGGCACACTCCGTGGGAGCACGCGCCGCCAGGGCCCCACGGGCCCTGCCTGCTGGAGCTGGCCCGCGCTCCCGGGAGCACGAGCCAAAGCGGGGCCCGACAAGCAAACGCTGCCATGGGGGGATCCGCGCGTGCGTGTAGACAAGCGCGCTCCCCTACTCGCCAAGTAGCTACTCTCGCAACTGGTCCGGGGCCGCCGCGGAGGATCTGCGACCCAGTGCTCTGAGGCAAACGTGTGCTGTCGGACGTTTGCTGCAAATCGGCACCCTGCGCGTCGTGGAACGAGCGCGCTCGGGGAGTGCGGGGAGTCCCTGGCGACCTCGCGTCGCGGAGAAAAAAACACGGCGGAACGGTTCTCGGTAGATTTCGGTCTTCCCGGGGCCCTCGCTGGAACCCTGGGCCGTCAACGACACGACTCAAGAGGGGAAGCCGGTCCCCGGGAAGAAGAAGAGGACCAGACCTCGTGGGCGCCACGCGGTGAAGAAACCGAGACGTCGGATGTCTGGGTTCTGGGCCTCCGGCGCCACGCTTTCTTGCACGATCTGGGCCCACCTGGGAACTCTCGGCCCCGTCCCCTGGAGCGGTCCCTCGGCGCGTATCACTCTTCCTCGGAGGGGTCTCTGGGCGAAGGCGGCCCCGCCTGGGCGCCAAAGTTTGCAGGCCGGCCAGTCAGTGCTCGCTCCGAATGAATCTCTGGACAGACCCATGGTGGACTTCCTCCTTTTCAGTTTTCCGAGCTGCGTCCAACCGTGGCCACGATGGCACCCCAGGAAGCTCCCAAAGTGATAAGCAAATGGAATCACTCCTCCTCCTCCTCCTCCTGCTCCTCCTCCTCTTCCTCACCACCTCACCACCTCACCACCTCAGCACCTCACTACCTCACTACCTCACCACCTCACCACCTCACCACCTCACCACCTCACCACCACCATCACCACCACCACCACCAATACCACCAATACCACCAATACCACCAATACCACCAATACCACCAATACCACCAATACCACCAATACCACCAATACCACCAATACCACCAATACCACCAATACCACCAATACCACCAATACCACCAATACCACCAATACCACCAATACCATCAATACCACCAATACCACCAATACCACCAATACCACCAATATCACCAATACCACCAATACCACCAATACCACCACCACCACCACCACCACCACCACCACCACCACCACCACCACCACCACCACCACCACCACCACCACCACGACACACGACCACGACCACGACCACGACCGACGACCACGACCACCACGACCACGACCACGACCACGACCACGACCACGACCACGACCACGACCACGACCACGACCACGACCACGACCACGACCACGACCACGACCTCGACCTCGACCACGACCACGACCACGACCAGCACCAGCACCACCGACCAGCACTGACTAGCACCAGCACCAGCACCAGCACCAGCACCAGCATCAGCATTATCATGATGGCTGCCTGCCATGATCCCTGCTGGCCACAACAGGGGTGATTGCGAAGCAGCCGCCTGCCCGTCGGGCTGGCGGCCCCGTGTGGCCGTCAACGTGGGCGTCTTGAGGCTCCCTCGTCGCCCTGGGTCCTGGGGGTCCCTGTTTGGGCCCAGCGCGGCGGCGGGCGGCGAGGCTTTGCCCCGCATCTGCTGCTCTGCAGACGGTTGTGCGCGTGGCTGGCACAGCTTGGACCCTGACGCCAAGTGGGACATCGTCCACACCTACACCAAGCGTCGCGGCTCTCACTCACGCGCCCCCCAGTGGGGCTCGAAGGCCCTGGCAAACAATGCATCCTCCACAGTGCACGAGGCCGCAATGGTGGGCAACCCCCCTAAGGCCATATCCCGCCCACAGGGGAACGGGCCCAGCGACTCTGGTGCGGCTGAGGGCCGCCCTCCCGCTTCTAAGTCTCGCTCTGCGCGCGTATCGCACAAGCGGCTGGTGTCCCGCGACTATCCGCGTCTGGTGGGTGCTCCCCGCCTTCGCTCTGCAGGTCCCACCTGGCATGGCAAGTCGGTCGGCACGTCTCCGGACGAGACCATTGCCCTCCAGGCGGCTCCCCGTCGCCAAGCCTGACGCCCTCAAGATGTAGCCACCACGCACCAACCCCCGAGGCCGCTGGTTGGCGCCAGATACCGCGAGTCTGCCAAGGCTAAAGGCGCTGCGCCTCCCAGTGCGGAACCCAGGTCCGCTCAGGCGGCTAGCCCATCGGCAGCCAGTCAGCCCCATCGCCACCCGACGGGCAGCTCTACGGCAACGACTCCGCCTCCGACCACAGGCTCGCGGCCATCGGTGCGCGGCCTGCCAGTAGCCGCGGGGCTGCCACGCGGGCTGCTGCTCCCCGTACCTCTGCTGCGCCGCCACCACTAGCCCCTGCCCCTCCCGCTGTCAGCCTGGCGACGGGGTCGCGCCTTATCGACATGCCTCCGCCACTCCCCAAGGCGCGCTTCGCGTCCCAGCCGAGCTCGCTGGCCAGCCCCCCCGACCTCTGCCGCCCAATGCAACACCTCCTGGCTGCGCAGGCCGCGACTTGGCTTGAGGAAGAGTGGAAAGGTGCCCCTTTCGTCCGTGTGAAGTCGAGGTCCTGGCTTGCCAAGGGCCACCAGCACCCCAGCAACGAAATTTCTACACCCGCCAATTTCTCCGCCGTCGCTCTTGGCGAATTCGTCGACAACATACCTAACGGCATCTTCGGTATTGCTCCCTCACCTGCTCCCTCCCGCGCCAATTCTCCTGTGGCTGGCGGTGGGGCTGCATCCTCGCGGAAACGCCCGCCTCCCGCCTAGCCGGGGGGGGCGGGGACGGCAACCTCGGCGCTAGGCCAGCCTTGCCGCTTCTCCAGTGCCAGGACCGCGCCAATTTGGTCTTTGTGCTTGGCACTACTTTGTCTACGCCCTTGGCGAGTACGGCACCCTGCCTGGCCGCCTTGCTTTCCTTTTTGTCCTCGTGCCTGCGTCGGGGCTCTCCTCGGGCTCACACCTCATGCGTCCACTGTCGTTTGCTGTCGTTCGTTCTCCGTCCCTCATCCCGCCGTGCGGGCAGCCCCACGGTTGTGCGTGTACCCGCCTCGCTGTCCATGCCCAGATGGCTAATGGCGTTCTCCATGTCTAATGCAGCTGTGGCGAATTTGTTTTCCCACGGTTTTGCGTGCACCCTCCACGCCATCCAGACCCGGATGGCTGATGCAGGTCGGATTGCATCTTAAGCGATGCTTGAGGGCCCGGCCACCGCGCGCACTGCTACGCTTTCCCCGCCTCGCCGCTGCGCGCGAGGCCGCTACCGCCAAAGCGTGTGCGTGTGGACGGTGTGCACTGCGCCCGCTCCATGTGAGGGAATCATCATTATCACCATCACCATCACCATCACCATCACCATCACCATCACCATCACCATCACCATCACCATCACCATCACCATCATCATCATCATCGTCATCATCATCATCATCATCACCTCAATCATCATCATTACCATCATCATTATCATATCATCATCATCATCAACATCATCATCATCATCATCGTCATCATCGTCATAATCATCATTATTGTCATCATCCACATCACCATCGTCATTACCACCATCACTATCACCATCACCATCATCGACATCACCATCACCAAACTCATCATGTCGAATCTTGAATCATAACCACCAACAGAAAACATCACTACTGTTATCATCATCACCATCGCCATCACCATCACCTTCATCATCTTCACCATCACCAACATCAACATGACCATCAACATCACCATCACCACCATCAATAACACCATCATCACCATCACCATCATTTTCATTATCATCCTCCTCCTCCTCCTCCTCATCATCATCATCATCATCATCATCATCATCACTACTGTCATCATCCCTTTCCTTCTTCCTCCATCTCCATCTCCGTCGTCCTCCGTCCTTCATCGTCGTCCTCCTTCTCCTCCTCCTGGTCTGGTCTGGCCCGGTATTGTGTGATCGTGCGCACCCGAGTGGGGCGCATTGTGCCTACACCCTGGGCAAAGGGCAGGCGTGGTTCCGTCCCAATTGGGGCTCTTGCAATGGGGCAGGTGCCTTGCGCGCGTGCAGACACTGCGGGGGCTGGGTCTCGCCATGGCGAAAGAATTTCCAGGGCCACCGCAGCGCCGTGCCTGCCGCCTGGCGCATTGGTGGCGCGCAAATGTGCGGCGCAATCGCGCATGCAACCTCCACGTTCTCCAACCGCGCCCACGTTCTCCAACCGCGCCCACGTTCTCCGACCGTTGTCGTCGTCGTCCTCCTCCTCCTCCTCCTCCTCCTCCTCCTCCTCCTGCTCCTTCCCTCACCCTCCTCTGCCTCTCTCCCCTCCCTCTCCTTCTCAGTCGGCCGCGCCAAGACGTCAGGAAGCCCCGCCCTCTCTGGCCCCCGTTCCCCCGCATCCGTCGGCACCAGCTCGACGTGGTACGTGAGCATGGCTGCCGGGGCGAGGGCGCGGTGGCCTGCCGGCGCATGGGGGAGGGAACAGCAGGAGGGAGTGAGGAGGAAGGGAGCAGGGGAAGGGGAGGAAGGCGGGGCAAAAGGAGGGGGGAGGAGAGCGGGGGATGAGGAGGAGATGAAGGAGGAGAAGGGGGGATGATGCTGATGCTGCTCTGCTGCTGCTGCTGCTGCTGCTGCTGATGGCGATTATGATGACGATGATGATGATGATGATGATGATGATGATGATGATGACGATGATAATGATGCTGATTATTATTATGATGATGATGATGATGTTGTTGAAGATGACGCTGCTGCTGATGATGATGATGATGCTGATGTTGATGCTGGTGCTGCTGCTGCTGATGATAATGATGATGATGATGCTGATGCTGCTGCTGCTGCTGATGATGATGATGATGATGATGATGCTGATCATGATACTGATGATGAAGATGAGGAGGAGGAGGAAGAGGAGGAGAGGGGAGGAGGAGAGGGAGGTTGAGAGGGGGGAGGAGGAAAGGACGGAGGAAGGAGGAAGGATGAAGGAGGAAGGAGGAACGAAGAAGGATGAAGGAGGATGGAGGAAGGAGGAGGAGGAGGAGGACGATGTTTAACGCCCGTAAAGGGAAGTCAGAGGAGAGAGAAAGGGACAACCGGGGGGGCGCCCATCGAAGGAGAACTTTTTTGTTCCCAGGCGGGGGGGGACTAGCCCCGCCAGGGCCCGCCGACAGGGCGCCCCACCCTCAGCAAAAAAGATATCGTCGGGCTCTGGCTCCAGCCCTGCCCGACGCGCTTGGGCTGCAGCACAGGCGTCCATGGCCCTTCTGCCGAGCTCCTCTGCTTCAGCACGACTGGGGAGGAGGAGGAGGAGGGGGAGGAGGATGAGGAAGAGGAGGATGAGCAACAGGAGGAGAAGGTGGAGGGGCAGAGGAAGGAGGAGGAGGAGGAGGAGGAGGAAGATGAGGAGGAGGAGGAGGAGGAGGAGGAGGAGGAGGATAATGAGGAGGAGGAGGCGGAGGAAGAGGAGGAGGAGGGAGGAGATGAAAGAGGAGATGGAGAAGGATGACCAAGCGTTACATGATGCGTTCCTGTGCCGAGCATTTCGACCCTCCATCGGGGGCGATGAACCACTAACATTGCGGGGCGGTCTGGTAAGGAGGAGGAGGAGGGAGGAGAGGGAGGAGGAAGAGGAGGAGAGATCGAGAGAGAGGGGGTAATGTGGATGCATGCATACATGCATACGTACACACATTCTCACATGCACACATACATGCGTGCGTGTTTGTATCAATACGAAATACGTAGCACCCCGCAATTGCGGATAAGAGTGAGGGGGCGGCGAGGCAGTCGGCAGTCTGCAAGGCTCTGAAGAAGCCCGCCGTAGGCGCCGATGCTTCGTTCAAACGATATATGGGTGGGTCGCGGGGTGGGTTGCGGGTGGGTCGCGGGCCGGGTCGCGGGTGGGTCGCGGGTGGGTCGTGGGCGGGTCGCGGGGTGGGTCGCGGGTGGGTCGCGGGCTGGGTCGCGGGTGGGTCGCGGGCGGGTCGCGGGCGGGTCGCGGGCTGGGTCGCGGGGGGGACGACGACAACAAACGACAACAAACAACAACAACATCAACAACACCAACAACAACAATCCGCACCGCCGAACCTCACTTCAGCCACGCGCCCAAGGACAGTGAATGACCGCTCGGCCCCCTCACTCTGATTTGCATGCATGCACGCATCTCTTTATCTATCTCTCTCTATGCACATGCATGCATCCATCCATTCCTCCATACATACACACATATACATAGACATATAGATACACATGTATATACGTATATATATATATATATATATAGATTTAAATGCAAAGACCATGGGGACGACCATACTCTATCTAATATGCCCCACCGATGCTGCCATACGCTCTCCCGTCCAAGTCCCCTCCCCAAAAATCCTTGCCAGAGTTCTTGTCCACTACGGGAACCGCACCACTGAAAGACGCGCGCCTTGCGTGCCTGCCACTCACGCGAGAACCCTTCTTTGAAATCGGATCCACCCTCCATCTTTCCATCTGTGCGAGGTGCAAGAACAATCATGAAGTTCGAGGAACACTCCTGCGAGGGCCGCGTTTGGCAAAAGGATTGCCCTCCATCCGTGTCACTGCTGCGTAGTTTCACAAGTCCAGTTTCAGGTAGTAGAACAAGCGCGTAGGACATCTCAAGCCCATTTTGGGACAGAACCGCATCCAGCCGCGAAGAGGATGCGCGGCAAATTTGAAGAAGCCTCAGCCAATAACAAAATCTTGGAAGGGATTCGCCTCCAGCCTGTGGAAGCATCTGAGGCGAACGTGCGCGACGCTAAATTGAGAGCAACATTTTGACACATCTCCGCCCTCACTGTGTAGTTGCTGGTAACGTTTAAGATGGAAATGAGCAGCGCTAGATCGAGAGATACATTTCGAAACCGCGCCGCCCTCCATGTGTGTAGCTGTTCGAACCTTTTACAATGTGCGCGGCGCTGAAGCGAGATCCCCAATTCGAAAACCACTCGCCATCCATCCGTGTATCTGTTGGGACGGGGCACCTTGGGCCAAAAACGCATTTGCCCCCCCCCCCCCCCGCCCTCATCTCTCCGTGACGTCAGCCCTGGACTGAAGTCGCTCAGTGATGCCGAGGGCGGCATTCCAGACATTCTCATTGCGAGTGCTCAGTCACAGCGATTCCCGCCAGGGGCCATGGTGTTCTTGCCGACTAATCCACGGGGTGTGACATTTTTGCTTGCTTGCTTGCTTGCTTGGGCCCCTGAACTTCTCGAGCACACCCTGAGGACCGATCTTTCACACATGGTTATTATTCAATTGCCCCAAGGCCCCAAACGGGCCTTCAAAATTGACGAGCCCTGGAAAAACCGGCGCCACGATTTTTTCGTGACGACGGCAATTGGGGTAAATCAGCCGTCAAGCGGCTCAAACGGCACCGGCCAGGCGGTCGCATCAGACGTCTTTGTCGCCGTCGTCTGCTGCTGCTGCTGCTGCTGCTGCTGCTGCTCCTCCTCCTCCTCCTCCTCCTCCTCCTCCTCCTCCTCCTCCTCTCCTCCTCCTCCTCCCCCTCCCCCTCGTCATCCCATTGACGCTCGGCCCGACGCGCCTGAGCCGTGCGCGGCGGCCCTGGAAAAGCTGCAGCTCGGTCAGGCAGCCGTGGATGGAACTGGGTCTGCCCACGGGCCCCGCCAGGCCTGGGGCATGGGCGGCTTCAGTGCATTGCGGGGTGATCTGAGCCAGCGGGCTCTGCGGGCCAAGATGGCTGCCGGGTGGTGGTGGGCGGGGGGATCTGTGCGACGGCGCCGCTTGGCACGGCGGGATGCTCACGACTCACGGCGGGGATGGTGGCAGCGGTGGCGATGACGGTAGCTGACTGACTGGGGAGCCTTGCGCTCGCTGGAAGAATTCTGCTGCTCTGTACCCTCGCAGTGATCATCGACAGGACGCATGATGGGCCGCACTTGCTATGGTGACGATGGAATTATGATAACGGTGGTGGAAGCGATGACGATGATGACGGCTGTGGCAATACTGCTGGCGATGATGTCGATGATGATGCTGATGCTGATGGTTAGGATGATGAGACGGAGGAGGAGGAGGAGGAGGAGGAGGAGAAGGATGATGATGCTGCTGATGATGATGAGGAGGAGGACGATGACGAGGATGCTGATGATGGTGATTGCACCTTCTTGGGATACTTGGCCCAAACGTACCGAACCACGGGTGGTGATGACGATGGTGATAGTGTTGATGGGGATGATCTGGTAGTCTCGGGTTCCATTCTCGCGGTCGTGGTCGCCCACGGAACGCGGGTATTGGAAGCGGCAGAAATGGCAAACAACCGCTCATGAAAGATCACCGAGGTACGGAACACGCTGGATTTGTATCCTTCAGCGGCTTGCACGCACTGGAGGAACTCTTGCCGCAGGAAGCAACGCAGATCACCAGAGGCGCCGGTTGCACTTAGGCTTGCATGGCCGTGCTCTGGGGATGTACCGACTGATCTGCTTCCAGATCTTGCCCGCTCCAGGTCGTGAGGGTCTTACTGACACCACCTGCCACTTCTTGTCGCCTCGTCGTGCTCCACCAACCCCTCCTCCTTCCCCTCCCCCTCCTCTCCTCCTCCCTCCTTCTCCCCATCCTCCGTCCTCCTACGTCTTCCTTTTTGCTCATCCTCGCCATCGTCCTCGGGGGCCTCTCTCGGGAGGCGATTTGGCGACTCTGCGAGGGCGTCTCGAGCCGGAGTCCCAAATCGGGACACGCCCGGGGGCGCTGGTTTGGCATTCGCCGCCGGATTTCCCGGGGCCCTTTCTCCGAGCGAATCCCACGCGATGGCGCCGATTTGGAAGTCGTCGCCGGATTTCACGGAAACGGAGCAGGGGTGGCCTCTGATCGCCCTTGCTCGCACTCGCCCCCTGCGCTCGTCGTCGTCTTCGTCGAAGTTCTCCTCCTTCTCCTCCTCCTTCCCTGCTCACGCGCTCCTTCTTCATCCAACTCTCCTCCTCCCTCTCCTCCTCCTCCTCGTCCTCCTCCATTCTTTTTCTTTATGAATGACGCCTCCCTGTCGCACCCCCAGACGTGTCGGTAGGGCGGGCCAGGAGGCTCGCCTGAGGCTCCATCATTTATGACCCTGAAGCTTGAAGCCTGCAACAGTTTCATGGATGGAGGGCGGGCCGTTTTCAAGATGTGGCTGTCCGCGCGCATTCGTTGTCAAAATTTACCACCATTTCAGGATGAAGGGCCCTGAGGGCCTCTTTAGGGAGGCTCGGGGGGCCAATCTTCTGAGCATGTCCCACGCAAGGGCGCCAATTTGGAATTCGTCGCCACATTTCCCGGAATTCCTGGAAACGGAACAAGGGGGGCGGTTGGCGGGCCCATTAAGAAGCGCGCTGGGGGTCATGATGACGTGAGTTCTGAAGACGCGCTCCCTCAAATGAATAAGGATAGAACAGGGACAGTCGCTTTCAATATGGAGCTCTAGTTTTAGCGCGGCGCAACTTCGTACGTGTTAGAAATTGCCACAGTTTCATGGATGAGTGCCCGTTCCTGTTCAACATTGAGCTCTCGCTTGAGACTCCCTGGAATCCCACCAGCCCTTTGGGCGTGAGTGGTTTAGCGAGCTCTCTCTGTCCTCAACCCCCCTTCTTCCCCTTCGGGGAGGGGTTTACCCCTCCCCCTACCCCCTGGGCCTGGAGAGGGGGGGCCGCGGGTCGTCAGGGGGGTCAATTTCGACTCCTGGGAGGGCTAAAAAACGACACCCCTCACGAGGATTCTGGCCCCGACGGGGGGGGGGCAGAAAAAATGCTCTCCTCTTCTTTGAAACCAAAATCATTGATTTTACTACGGTTTCGGCCCCATTTTGGCCTTCTGAGGGGCAGCGCTCCTCTTCCTTCATCGCAGAATCATTGATTTTACTAAGGTTTTGGGCTCATTTTCTCCTTCTCAGGGGGCAGCGCTCATTTGCGCTTCTGAGGGGGTCGCAAGAGGCCCCAATATGGCACCAAGAGGCCCCCAGAAGGCTCCCAAGAGGCCCCCAAGAGGCCCCCAAGAGTCCCCCAAGAGGCCCCAAGAGGCCCCCAAGAGGCCCCCAAGAGGCCCCCAAGAGGCCCCAAGAGGCGCCAAGAGGCCCCCAAGAGGCCCCCAAGAGGCCCCCAAGAGGCCCCCTAGAGGCCCCAAGAACATCCAAGAGGCCCCCAAGAGGCTCCACGAGGAGCCCGAACGACTCACACCAGGACGAGGGGCCCGAACGACTCACACCACGAAGAGCCCGAACGACTCACACCAGAAGGAGGGGCCCGAACGACTCACACCAGGACGAGGCGCCCGAACGACTCACACCACGAGGAGCCCGAACGACTCACACCACGACGAGGGCCCCGAACGACTCACACCACGAGGAGCCCGAACGAGTCACACCAAGAGGAGGGGCCCGAACGACTCACACCAGGACGAGGGGCCCGAACAACTCACACCACGAGAAGCCCGAACGACTCACACCAGGACGAAGAGCCCGAACGACTCACACCACGAAGAGCCCGAACGACTCACACCAGGAAGAAGGGCCCGAACGACTCACACCAGGACGAGAAACCCCAAACGACTCAAATCACGAGGAGCGCTTTCTCTCCCTCCTCCTCCGCCTCGTCCTTCTCCCGCTCCCCCCACAAGGAGGATGTACAAGGAGGCGGGAGGAAGGAGGAACAGGGGAGATATGCGGGGCCAAGCGGACACACGCCTGAAAAACACGACTGTCGGCATGCTTCGCGAGAGTTGCTGCTGTGAGATGGGCTGGTGGGGATACGCGAAGCGTAAAGAATTAAAAACCAGGGGCTTCAAAAGATGTAGCAGAGATGAATGGCGGTTCCTCTTCATCATGGGGCTCTCGCTCGAGGTTTTGCCGAAATTCATGGCCAGAAGCATAGGCTTGTACAACAGTTCGACGGATCGGAGAGGGTATAATCATTTGTCACAACGGGGACCTCGCTGGACACCTCGCTGACGTGCATGATCATACCCTCTCGCACTCCTGATTTTGCGCTAAAAGCTACAAGTATGCGAGGCAGTTCTTTATCAAACGGGGGCTCTCGCCTGAAGGGAGGGACCACTGTGTGCTGGTCTTTCCATGGGGGCGCTTCTATATGCGAGAAGGCAGGCATGTAGGGACGTGTGAGGAGGGGGCTTGGGACGAGAGGGTGTATTGCAGCATCTGCTTCACTCTGGTCTTCTTCTTCTTCTTCTTCCTCCTCCTCCTGCTCCTCCTCCTTCTTCTCGCCTCTCCCCTCAGAAATGAGCCCCCGAGCCTTTCCTGGGGTGCGTCCGAACCAGACTTAGACGGGGAAGCCAGCCATGACGACAAGGAGCTTCCCAGAAGCCCAAAAAGGGCGACAACACCGAACACCTGGTCCTCCTCCTCCTCCTCCCTCTCTTCCTCCTCCTCCTCTGCCTCCTCCTCTCCTCCTCCTCGTCCTCCTCCTCCTGATTCTTCTCTTCGGAGGAGGAGGAGGAGGACCAGTGTAAACCCAAGAGTCACAAACGATGTTGGAATAAACTCTCCCCCAAGGTCCCTCTGCATATGCCCCTACAACGGTTCACTTCCATAGAGGGACCTGCCTCGTTGGAAGACAATCTTTTGAAGACCCTGAAACATGCTAAAACATTATTCTCGGTATTGCAACGCCACGGATGAACCTGACTGTTGCGTCTTGGCGATCCTGAACCGTGCCATAACGCCGTTCCTGGGACCTCAACTCCGCGAATCATCGCAACTGTGCTCCCTCAAAATCGTGAATTCTTCCAAAACACCATTTCTAGTTCGTCGATCATGGGGATCCGTGACTCTTGCAATTTTGTATCACTAATGTGCGCGGCGCTAAAGCGAGAACCACATGTTGAAAAAGAACCACCCTCAATCCGTGAAGCTATTGCACATTTGTAGAACGAATCTGCGCGGCGCTAAGGCGAGAACCACATTTTGAAAACGACCCGCCTTCAATCCTGGAAAGTCTTGCAAACTTTTAAAACGAATGTGCGCGGCGCTAAGGCGAGAGCCACATTTTGAAAACCACACGCCTTCAATCTGTGAAGCTCTTTCAAATTTAAAAACGAATGTGCGCGGCGCTAAGGCGAGAGCCACATTTTGAAAACGGCCCGCCCTCAATCCGTGAAGCTCTTGCAAATTTCTAAAACGAATATGCGCGGCGTTAAAGCGAGAGCCATATTTCGAAAAGCACCCGTCCTCCATCTGTGGAGCTGTTGCCAATTTCTAACCTAGGGTGATCAATGGTGAGGAAGTCTCAGGCGAAACGCCCGGCCCGTCCGAAAAACTGGCCTCGGGGTGCGACAGGGAGGAGTTCTTTATAAGGAGAAGGAATGGAGGAATGGAGGAGGAGGAGGAGGAGGAGGAGGAGGAGGAGGAGGAGGAGGAGGAGGAGGAGGAGGAGGAGGAGGAGGAGGAGGTGGAGGAGGAGGAGGAGGAGGAGGAGGAGGATGAGGAGGAGGAGGACGAGAAGGAGGGGGGGCAGCGGTGCGGGCAGAGGGCGGCCTCAACCGCAGGGAGGGGCCGCCGACGCCGCCGCTGAGCTGCTCGGGGCTGAGCTGCACCTCCTGGTGGCGCGCGGGCCGAGCGCCGCCGTCGGGCACCCGCGCCTTGACGAGCAGAGGGGCTCGCTCTGGGCGGGGGGGTCGAGCAGCGACGGGGGCGGGGGGGAGGGGCAGTGAGAGCGGGGGAGGAGGAGGAGCTGCGAGGGGGGGGGAGGGGGGAGGTGGAGCAGGAGGGGAACGACATCCTGTGTTGGCCATCTTTTGTCAAGGGGCCCGTTGGGTGGGCTGCACGCGTAACCGTCC